GGCTTAATACCAAGTTGTGGATCTAACTGCTGAATGACAAACGGTTTTGAGAGTCCCTGCCCCCCCCCCCCAACCAGACACACAACAGCATCACCTCTATTCAAAGAGGTTCAGTATCAAGTACAGATGGAGGGCTGATAAAATAGAAAACGATCTCAGGCAAGGTTGCTGGTCTTACGTGTATTTCCCTTCATTTCTTCAAGGGATTCATGAAACAATCAGGATCGGCAGGAGAAACCTAAGTACATTCAAGTAAAACATGTTTTCATTAGTTTTGCTGCTGGTGACTGGAATTGGCTTGATTTTCATACTAATAAAAGCATCGCCTCTTTAAGTACATCTGAGAAATCTGATTATGAAGTTAGAATCCACATATCTCCTCAAGCACTCTTAGAAAGCAGTGTATGTCTTCATAAAAGCATGAGGAGAAAAAGACTTGTACAGCATCTTTTTTATTTTCTTTACCATTGTTTTAATGCACTTTAAAATTTATCTACATTAATTGGGAACAAAGAAACAAAAATAGACATTTCTTTGTTTTTCATAAATAACTACTCTCCATATTTGATAAAAATCTCAAACCATTACTTTACCTCCCCACAAATATAATACATACAAAATCTTTTCTGCAATAATAAGGTCAGCAAATTAAGCATCTTGAGACTAACATAACCACGTACAACTGCTGCTCTACGGACTTCCAGGAACAAAACCAAACCAAAAACTACCTATCGAGAATGTCTGGGTTTCCTTTTGTTAATGTTACAGAGTCAAAATTATAATCCTCTGCCAATAATAATTTATAGATTCAAGTTGATTGTCTACAAAGAAAATATCGCTGGCTCTGACTGGGGAATTCTGGGTCGGACGCGACGGCGAGGATGCTGCAGTGATAGGCACTATACACGGGTGAAAATCAAAAAAAAAGTACTGAATGCCCTGGACGCCACCTACTGACTCGGTATGTGCCTCATGTGGCTCAGTAATAAGTTCACCTGCACCAAACCCGTATCAAAGTCACTAAATCTCTCATATATATAATATATATTATATGTATATACACACCCACAACACATACATACTATACATACAGTTTGTAACAACACAAAGTAATATTGTCTCACAATGGTGTACCAGACAGTGTCCTGGCTGAAATGAATCCTGCAATTGTCAGTGAGCTGCTAGAAGCTTTTGAGAGTTGAGTCAGGTTACTTAGTCCCTCACATCCTGCCCACCCTTTGCCCTGCTTTAATGTCTTGGTAGCTTTTTTTTTTTTTCCTTCCCCTCAGAACCACCCTCCCCCCTCCAGGCATATTTTCCCCCCTGGGATCACTTGCTTGGACTTTGGAGGCAAGAAAGGGCATGCAGAGGGAGCAGGCAATTCTCAGCCACTGTACCTCACACCTGCCTAGATGTGTGACGTTCTCTGTCCTGTTTGCCACATTTGGTGTTAGAAAGCAGTTATTCAAAGCTTTGTCCCTCCTACCCCCCTTGGTCTTTCTGTAGAGCACAAAAGTGAAAGAAGCCCCTTTAGCAGGGGTAGCAGTTCATTAAAATATACAACTACGTTTCCTAGCTCTGGGGTTTCCATTCTGTACTTGAGAGTGCAGGTCACGGATGCTGTTATTAAGGTTCGGTGTGGGATCCATGAGGTTTTCTCCTGGCAGCCAGTGTCAGGATTAGTGCAGCCCTGGCCCAGGAGGAAACAGCCTAATGAATACCAACTTGGAAACAGTGCTGTCGGCACATTATTTAAGCCTGTACATGCACACAATTACACACACACACACACACACACACACACACACACACACACACAGGCCCGTCATTGGAAACGGTCATGTGAAAAGATGACAAAGGTTTGCAAAGATAAACCAATAAGGCACCAAGAAAAATTATTCTCAGCCAATTTAGACAACATCAAAATGTAAGGAGGGAAATCATATAAATTAAAGAGACTTCCTAAAAGTCTGGCCAACGGATCCGCGGACGGGTCACATTAGTTCCTTTAGACAACTTTCTAAATCTTCACCCCCAACTCATGAAGCGAGACAATGCTTAAAACCGACCTGTGAAAGGGACAACCTGGAAGCTGTACACGTGACATTAAACTGAACCATAAATCCTTTCCAACTCCACAAAGCTATCTGTGAAGAAGTTGCTAGACCCCACCGCCCACAACCTTTCATTTTATAATTGTTTTCATGAGTATGAACTGTCTGCATAATAAAAATGCAAATCAGGGGGAAATAGCATGTGGGATGGAAAGAGAGGGTGGCCATAAATAGATCTGGCTTCTCTCCCCTGGGTGGGGGATGGGGTAGTTGACATTAGGAAGACTCTAGGGAAGCAGGTAGGCTTTATCTTTGAGGGATGGGAGAGGAAGAGCGGGGGCAAGAACACAGACTGAAAACAAAGGGGCATCTCTGAGAAGTGGTGTGCAACTAGACCCCAGAAGGCATTACTTATATTGCCCCTCCTTGGCTCACTGTCCTTTTTCAACTGCTTTTCTTTTTTTTCCTTCACAGTAAATTGGTTGTTGTTGTGAGGCTTGGCATGTTGCCCAAATGAAACACTAATTTTTTTAAAAAATGAAGAATTAACCCACTTTCATCCATTTCATCCCACAACTTTTAGATGCACTGTGCATCATTTTCTAGATTCCTCCACAAAGAAAAAAGTCAAGGGGTCAACCCAAATTAAGCACAATGACCGGAGGCGTCATGACCATCTGTGTACTTTCTGGGAAGACATACTAAGAGGGAAGAGGTCAAGGTGATCGGGAAAGGTCCTCATTTGAAAAACACAAGAATTGGCCCTCAGACAGGGGATCTATTCGAAGGTCCTAAGAAGCAGCTTCTGAGTAAGGACAAGAAGATGTGCAAAAAGTTCTGTAGCTCTATGTACTAGGTTTTGTCGAATCCGCTGAAATTTTAACTTTGATTCAGAGTATGAGTGTGTAAGAGCAGTGAGTTTTTATAAAAGCGAGCAGCTTTTGAGAGTCCCCAAAACTACAATACCAGGCTTCTCCCTGAAGCAAAGTGTTTAAATTCGCTATGGGAACTGTGCATTTGTTTCCTTAATATCCATGAAGTGAAAACTGGCCTGGGTTTAAATCTTACATTCCCAACTTTGGTATAAATAAAGCACAAATGCCTAGACTCGTCATTTTCCTAGGGAGTCAGTCTAAAATTTTAATTGTTTTTGTCACTTGAGCTTCCTAAATTCGGTCCCCACTCAACCCTGGTCATTGGTATTTTGCTGGTCATTGCACTGTCACCTCCTTCTCCAAGTCATGGCCTCACACTCTTCATGAAGGAACAGTTAAACAGATTAGAAAAGCAAACAGAATTCTTAAATAGTAAAGAAACCTGTGTGTGTGTGTGTGTGTGTGTGTGTGTTCATATATAGGCTTTCATATATTAATGAATGGTTAAGCATGTCGGAAAGCAAACAGAATTCTAATAGCAAAGTGCATGTGTACGTGCATGTGGGTGCATGCAAGTGTGTGCTCGGCAAAAAGAAAAACATATTGAGGTGGGGGAGAGAGGACAGCTTTCCTCCTGCACCAGTCCCCTGAGCCATATTTTAAAAGCTTCTGCACGTGCATTATGGGTGTCATTTGTTTGGGGAGACTGCAGAGAGCAATGTTTGGCTGCTTTTGGAATATCTGCCTAATAAACGAGTCCAAAGTCCAGGGACACTTATTTTCCCTCATTGCTGCCAATGTTTGTTCACAGGTAGCCAGCCTCCCTGCCCCCAGCTCAAGCACCCCATTCAAGGGTGGGTGGGGTTTCTTAATCACAGCTCTCCAGGAGAGGAGGACTAAGAAAAGCAAAAAGACTGTTTAACATGATAAAGGTGGGATGGGGTGGAGCAGATAAGAGAAGTGTTAGAAATTTACCTAATTACTGGAGGTATATCCATTTTAGTCCTTAAATCTAAAAAGCAGCTCCTTTAACAACCATCTCTAAGTACTTCCAGAAGAAGGGAGTGGGTTTACCTTTACCAAAATCAGAACACGAGTTCTTAAAAAAAAAAAAAAAAAAAAAAAAAAAAAAAATGGAATCACTGAAGCCTGTTAACCACCTACTCCTTCTCTGGCACAAAGCTGCCATTTTACCAGTCTAGAATTCAAGCTCAACCAATCCCCATCCTCGAGATTTTCACTTTTCCAAATATTTATACCGGCACTCTATGATGCTACCTCTAACTTATTCAAGACCATGCTGGGTGTTGTTAGGAATAAGAATGATTACCAGAACTACAGAAAAGAAACCGAAGGTCGATAAATAAACAAAACTAGTATGGCACACAAAATCGTTAAACGCTGTCCTCTCTAACCTTGTCACTTTGGGGAGGCCCTAGCCCCATTATGCTTCCCCTCCTCGACATGAATTGGGGTTTCCTCTAACTTAGGGACTATAAACAGCGACCAGCAGCTCAGCCTTAAAGCGTCTGGGACACTTTAAGCAGTGAAAGAAAACAAGCTGAAAAATCACACCTGACAACCTCCCAGGCATTCATAGCAACCTAAACTTTCACTGTTCACATTTGTTTTAAACACACAAGTATAGGAAATATATTTTCCCAATTTAGACCACACAGTTCAAAGAAACCTGAACCAAGCGGAACTTCATTATAATGCCAACCTTAGGATTGTAAAGCCCCCAAAGCAAAGGTAAATTTTGTTGCCAAAATGCAACAAAGTTAAAAATTAAGAAAACTACATATAAATTAACAACAGGGTTCCCCTAAAACAAAAACAAAAACAAAAGGTAGTAAGAAACACAAAATAGAATACACGTGGGCTGAGCCCCTTCGAGAAGTCCTGGGACCGGTACGGCCTTTGAAAGGGCCAAAGGCCCCTTTCCCCTCTCTCCAAGTTGCCCCAGGAGGGGGCATCAGCACCATGAAGGTAAACGGAAGTGAACTTGGCAAAACTACCAAACAAAACAACCCCCCTCCCTCCACTCCCGGCCCCTCTGGGCCTCGGCGTCCTACACGTGCGACAGGGACACCTGCTTGTGGTAGGCGGCGGCGGCGGCGGCGGCGGCGGCGGGGGGGCCCGGCGGCCCGGTCCTGCCCGTGAGCGAGGCGCTCGCCTCATAGTCCCCCGCGGCCGTGGCGCCGCCGCTCTTGTGGCCCCGCCGCGGGCGGCAGCAGCATCGGCTGGTGAAGCGCCGCCACGACTCCACAGTCTTGCCGGACCAAATCCAGACGCCCGACGTGATGCCCACCACAAGGCACATGAAGTACTTGAGCATGAGCACCCAGTACTCGGGCTTGGCGCGCGGCTGGCCGGCGTCGGGGCCCGGGCACGCGCAGGTGAGCGCGGCCTCCCAGCTCTCGCGATAGTGCTGCTCGTACAGGTAGCAGGCCACCACGATGCTGGCGGGCACGGTGTACAGGAGAGTGAAGATACCGATGCGGATCATGAGCTTCTCCAGCTTGTCCGTCTTGGTGCCGCCCTGCTTGATGACGCTTCGGATGCGGAAGAGCGACACGAACCCCGCCAGGAGGAAGAGGGTGCCCACCAGCAGGTAGAGCACCAGCGGGCCCAGCACGAAGCCGCGCAGCGAGTTCAAGTTCTGGTTGCCCACGTAGCAGATGCCGGCCACCGGGTCCCCATCCACGGAGCTCAGTGCCAGCGCCGTGATGGACTTGACGCTGGGGATGAGCCACGCGGCCAGGTGGAAGTACTGTGCATAGCCCGCGATGGCCTCGTTGCCCCACTTCATGCCAGCTGCCAAGAACCAGGTGAGCGACAGGATGACCCACCAGATGGAGCTGGCCATCCCAAAGAAGTAGACCAGCAGGAAGACGACAGTGCACAGCGCAGGGCCCGTCGTCTCGTAGTGAATGTGGCTGTGCTCGCGGCTGCAGGCGACGCTGGCGTGGCCCACCACCAGGCGAACCAGGAAGCCCAGCGACACGCACAAGTAGCAGGCAGACAGGAAGATGATGGGACGCTCAGGGTAGCGGAAGCGTTCCATGTCTATTAGGAAGGTGGCTACCGTGGTGGAGGTGGAGATGAAGCACAGCACAGACCACAGCCCAATCCAGAAGGTGGCGAACGTGCGCTCGTCGGGGCTGAAGGAGGGCTGGTAGCAGGGCACGGCGCAGTTGGGCACCTGGCCCGTGCGCACCTTGTTGTAGAGCGGGTGAGACTCCTTCAAGATGGGGACGAAGGGCTCGCGGCACTTGCACACCGACGGGCCCCCCGCGGCGCACTCGCCCCCTGAGGCCGGTGCGCCCGCGGGGCCCGGGAGGGTGGGTTTGGCCGGGAAGGGCCTGGGGGGCGCCGTGGTGGCCTCGCTGCGGTTGTAATCCATGCACAGGACCTCGGCGTCGCGGCCCAGCACCGGGAGGCGGTCGCAGCTCATGCGCTCCGGCCAGGCGAAGCCGTACTGGCGCATGAGCGGCGAGCAGCCGGCCTTGGCGCGCTCGCACACGGAGCGGCAGGGCGGCAGCGGCTTGTGGTAGTCGGGCAGGCAGATGGGCGTGTACATGGAACACAGGAAGAAGCGCAGGTCCGGCGAGCAGTGGATCTCCACCAGCGGCCAGAACTGGTGCACCTCCAGGCCCGCCTCGTCCTGCGTGTCGTGGTTGAACTGGTTGGGCATGTGCGTCAGGTTGTAGCCGATGCCGCGGCACATGGGCACTGTGATTTCCTGGCACACTGGGGCCTTGGAGGCAGCCGCCGCCCGGCCCGCCAGCTGCGCCAGGAGCAGCAGCAGCAGGGAGGGCGGTGCGGACGGGTCAGGCCGAGCCATAGCCCCCTCCCTCCCCTCGCCGCGCCCGCCGCAGCCCGCGCGGGGCCCACGCAGCCGGGGGAAACCCGGCTGGCCTTTCCGCCGACTCGTGTGTGGCGCCGGGGCTGGCAACCTGTTGGTTTCTTTTTCTCTTAAATCCGTCCAAAGATAAACTGTTTCGGGAAGGCGCTGCCTCCGCAGGCAGCGCTCTGCTCTTCGCCAGATAGGGCTGGGGAGGGACGGTTAGGGCTCCGATTCCAGAAGTACTCTTTAAAAAAGAAGCTGAGGGAGAAGAAAAATTGCAACCACTCCCAGTTAGAAGGGAGTCAACCGCTCAGTCCCCGCAAGCGCTCTCCAAATCTCCAAGTTAATGTCTCTTCCTTCCCTCCCCTCCACCTCCGGGAACCAAACTACTGACTCCCGGCCCACCCCCACGCCCCTCCTCCCTTAACGCTGGGCCTTCTAGGCTGTACCCCGGGGTCAGAGAGCTCAGCCGCCAGGAAAAGCGCGGAGGAACCGGGAAACGAACGGAAAGAAAGGGGTTAGGCGCGGGCTCTCACCTTCGCGGATCCTGAAAAGCAGATAGTCGTCAGCCAGCCTGGGTCTCCTGTTCCTGGGGCAGTCTCTCAGAAATGCGACTCAGAGACGGGCTGGCACCCGGAAAGTTTGGCGATAGGCTGGGTACCCGAGGCGAGGCACATGGCAGCAGGTGGGGGCTTCTCAGAGAGGGGGTCGCACCCTGAACGCGGTCGCCGCAGGCCGGTCACTCGCCCTCTCCTCCTCCGGGGCCCCCCGCATGATCCGAGCGGGGCAGAGCAGGAGCCGACCGTGCGTTCTACCGGGGTCCGGGAGCCGGACGAAGGGCGAGCGCGCCTGGCAGCACCTGGGCGAGAGGAAGGCGGTGTGCGGCAGCCTGGGGATCCCGCCGCCTCACTGCACCGCGAGCAGCTGGCGCTGGCCCCGCCGGGACTGCATGGTGCTCGCCCGCCGCCGCGTCCCGCCGGCCGCTCGCCTCCTCCCCTGCAGGGGGCTCCGCGCTCCAGCGGACTCCTGGGGGCGGTGGCGGCGCTCCCGGGACGCGCACGGCTCGGCTCCTCCCCCGCACCCTCTCACTCTTTTGCCCACCTCCAGCGGGCACCGAACGGCGCGCGCGGCGGCGACGACGGCGGAGTCACGGCCGCGGGCTGACTGGCCTCTCCCGCCCCGCCCGGGTCACCTGCCTCTAATGCCCGCCGGGAGGCCCCGCCCCTTCCCCGCCCCCTCGCGCTGGGGCTCGGTTGGTGGGCCGCCCCGCCACGTTCTCCGCGCGTCCCCGCCCACTGCCCCGCGGGCTCGGCCTCTCCCCCTGCGCCCTCCGGCCCCGCCCGGAGCCGGCCGCCGAAGAGCGCCGGCCAATAGCTGGCCGGAGAGCGATGGGGGCGGGGCGAATGCTAATCGCTCCTTCTAGAGACCCCCGGCGGGAAACCCTTGCCAGAAGTCCCTCCGGAGTTCGCTGCGGGCGCACAGCGGTCCCCGGCTCACTTTCCTGTAATAGGCTGGCTTATGAACCCTTGCTTCCAGGGCCCCTACCAGGTCTCTCTGCAGCTAAAAATCTTCACAGTCCAGCGCTTGTTTAAAAGAACCGCTCGAAGAATCATTCTTAACCGTGGCACCTGCCTCCGCTCTGCGCTGTCTTCCTACCAGGTGAGCTCACACTGAGAGAAGAGCGAAGGTGTATTGAGTCCCTACTGCGTGCCAGACAGCGCGTTAATCGTTTATACCTTAATACAAGATCTCAGATGTTTACAATCCTGTGAGACAGGTACTCCTTACAGGTGAAGGAACAAAGGTTGAGAAGCTTGACCAAGGCAACAGAGCTAATACTTCCCAAAGAAAGCCGCAACATAGGCAGCCTTCACCCCAGTATTCCGAGCGCCTGGCACATAGTAGGCGCTCAAATGCTAACTCGGGATTCGAACCCACGTATCTGCATCCCCGTTTTAACCACTGTCCCCACCCGTGTACTACCGGTATCTCCTAGTCTTCAACCTTTACTGTTGCACTTAACAAACTCTTATTGTCGCCATAAAGTGATTTTCTTCCTGTCTTTGGAAGACTGGAGAGATGTTAGTCCTCTATCTGTCGAAGTTTAAAAGCCCAAGCAGTTCCGAAATCGCCTGCGGAGAGAAGCCGCTCCAGCTCGCGGATCTGTTGCGGGTAGGGCGCCTGGCCCCCCGGGGCTTCGAGCTGTAAGAGCCGTGCACTGGCTCGCCTCTGGGGAGCGGGGGCGCTGGGAGCAGGCCCGGCAGGAGGGAGGACCAGCTGGGTGCCCCGACTGCTGGGACACACAGTGGCGCTCTCCAGATAGGTTATTATGCTGCAAGTTTTAAATGTCTTAAAAATGCCTCTTTTCTACGTGTTCTAATTAGGTTGGGAGACTGAGGTGTTTAGCATTCTTGAAATTCATTCACACGCTTACAAAAGGGTTTGCATTGTTTCCTGCTCCCCCCACCCCTTCCTTCTTCTGGGAAGAAGGCGCGGAGGGGGCGGGGGGCAGGAACAGGAGGGCCTGGGTACTTCAAGGAGTCAGGACTGGACTAAAGGGTTGAGACATATAGACTGCAGTTATCGTCGTTCTTCTGTCCTGGATCCCGTTTGTACAGACTGGGAGACTGGATTGCAGAAGAGCCGTCTCCCTCCGGCTCATCACCAAGGCTTTGTGGAAAATTATGAAGATACGTGCATTAATCCCAGACTCAAAGTTTAAAGTGAATAAATACAGTTGTTTCACAAGCATCAAAACTATTAATAGATATATTTAGAATGTACCTTCCACCTTTCATGCCCTGAAATTCTACAGGTGTTCATATTTAACCTCTTTTGTGTTTTGGAAACACTTGGCACTCTGGGTCGGCAAACATCCCAGGGTTGAAAGTAGTGGGAGTTGAAAAGCTATGGAATAGCAATCAGAAAGAAAGGGAAACCCTCAGTGGAAAGTATGTGCAGACTGTGAAAATGCCAAGCAAGGGCTGTCTCATTCTGTGCCCTTTATGCAACGTGTGTATTATTGGGGATGGACAAGTGTTGGCTAATAATAAAAATTATTTGAAGTTGGAGAATGTTAATCACTCACACTGGAATTTAGCCAGAATACTTGTGTTATTTCACTTGGTTCTGATTCAAACGATGTTATCTACCGGTCTGTAAACCTCTCCCTTCTTAATCAAGAGCGAAATGTTATTTTTGCTTGGAGATCTCTAATAATAGTAGTAACAACAGCAGGAAACTTTGCCAAGAGAGACTTATTTTGCATTGTATAGTTTTTGTATCATTTAAAATTTTGCTTTTTTTACACATACTACTTCAGTTTAAAGGCAGTTTAAAATACGCTCTTTAACATGTATTAGGCAGTCTGCTAAATAATTCATTTAGAGCTCATTTGATCATTGCAACAATCAGATGAAATGGGTACCATAATGGCTTGCTTGAGGTGACCAATTTAGTCCATCAGAAGGATAGAAACCAAATTGGTCTCCCGACTCATAATTTATTATTTAACAAACTAGAAAACACTACGTGATTTTTTAAAGGTGCAATTTGGAAGCATTCTTGTCAATGAATTCGCTCATCTGTACTTCCACTCGTAGCCATTCGTCCGTCCATCCGTCCATCCATCCGTCCATCCATCCATCCATTCATCCAAGAAACATCAGTTTCTGAGTTGAAGACACAACTATGTTAAACATGTTTCTGCAAAGCGAAATTCATGAAATTCAATGTAAATTATTGTCCTGCGTGTTTATGAATTGATGAAAATACAGAGAACAATGCTAAATATTCCATCAAGGGGGGCATCTGGGTGGCTCAGTTGTTGAGCATCCGACTTTGGCTCAGGTCATGATCTCACAGTTTGTGGGTTTGAGACTTGCATTGGGCTCTGTGCTGACAGCTCAGAGCCTGGAGCCTGTTTCTGGTTCTGTGTCTCCCTCTCTCTCTGCTCCTCCCCCACTCACACTCTGTCTCTCTCTCTCTCAAAAATAAATAAACATTTAAAAAAATTAAACATTTGGGGCGCCTGGGTGGCTCAGTCGGTTAAGCGGCCGACTTCGGCTCAGGTCATGATCTCGCGGTCCGTGAGTTCGAGCCCCAGGTCGGGCTCTGTGCTGACAGCTCAGAGCCTGGAGCCTGTTTCAGATTCTGTGTCTCCCTCTTTCTGACCCTCCCCTGTTCATGCTCTGTGTCTCTCTGTCTCAAAAATAAATAAACGTTAAAAAAAAAATTAAACATTTTATCAAGTAAGTGTGTGATATTCCAAAAGTGTTGAGGTACTGGCTTTGGATTTTGTCATCAGGGAATAGTTGGAGCATTTTGAATCTCACTAGACTTGTGTTCCTTATCTATGCATTATTCTGTTGACACACTTGAGAGTTCCATGCTATAGGAATGACTGGACAGGTTAACTTTGTATAATCTTCAGTGTCTTCATAATCAAGCCTGGAACCGTATGCTGCACACAAACACCTTCAGTAAATATTTGTGAAATAAGTGGATGAATGATTGACAACGTGAATGAGATTACCTTCCTAAACTTTAGCAGCTGGCATTGAATCCTTGCATGCAGCTTCTCTTACATCTCTGAGGTTGACCATATACAAATGCAGCATGAGTCCAAGCCTTGTCCCTGCCTAGCAGCTCAACCACCTAACAGCTCCAGGGGCTCTCTGCTTGCCTGCAAAATGGAGTTACAGATAGTTAGCTCCTTCATAGTGTTGTAGTGAGGGGATAAATGAATTTATACGGTAAAGGGCTTAGAACCTCATTTAGTGCCTGGGAAGTCTATATAGTCTTAGTCATTATTATTAGTTTCCACTATGGTTCATTCTACTTTTCTGTTTTCCCAACCTTTTATATTCTCTTTTGCGTATTACTTTAATAATGGGGGAAAGTTACACTTTTTAGTGCACTTTCTGTGGAGCACACTCTCAGCCGTCACCAGCCATCTCTGGTAGTTAGATATTAGATACATTTTATGCCAAAGCAGA